TACCTTGTTTAATATAAACCACTGGAGAGACATTTCCTGTTTGTGTTATTTCATAAACCAGAGTGTGAAATAGGAAATCCCAGATAAGAAAAGGCCACCCCTTCTTAAGAATTCTATCATAGAATCTGCATTCTCAAAGGGAACTAGAATCTTAAAACAGTGCCAATGAAAGCATTAACAATTAATAATAACAGTAATAATAATATAACAACAATGGCTAACTTCCACAAAGGAGGTATAGAGTAGTGGCTACAAAGGTGCTTCTAGAATCAGATACACCTTGATTTTTTTCGCAGCTCTGAGTCTTCCTACCTACATTCTCTCTGAGCAAGTTATCGTCTCTAAACCTCAGATTCCTCATCTCTAAAATGGGGATATTAAGTCCTTATTTCATAAGATTGTTGTAAAGATTAAATAAGATATCAAAGGAAAAGTTTTTAGCACAATGTCTAGCACATAATAAATATTCACTAAATGTTAGCTGCTATTGCTATGAACAAGAATACAATTTATAAAAGCTTATTACATGTCAGGGGCTCTCAGAATATTATCTCTAATCCTGATAGCAATCTTCAGAGTAATTATTGTCTTCACCTAAAAGATAAGAGTGAAATTGCTAATTCAAGGTCATTTGGCTAGGAAACAGCAAAGCAGAGGTTCCCTGGGGTCTGAAAAAAATATATCGAATTTCAAGTGAATAGCTTCAAACTGACAGAAGAGCTGCAGTGGAAAGCCTCCCTCTTATGTCATTGTGTTTCAAGTTGGCATTTATAAAATCTTTAAGTCAAGATAAGGTCAAAGAAGAGTCTTTATTAGAATATCTTATTTGATCAAAATTAATTTACTTCTTCAAGCTTTATCACAGAATTAACAATGAAACTTAAAATGCCATTGAATCAATTAGTTATACCCCACATATGAGCCATAGTAACCTGAAGTTTGAAAGTCTCTGCATTCCCCAGGACTCTTTGGGTAAAAGTTTAATGAAGCTCATCTCAAAATATCTTAAGAAAGGGAAATTTTTCACTTCAGTGTTTGGGAGTTCTAGAATCTTTCTAGCTTCAGGCATAGCTGGGTCCAGGCTCTTTGCTCTCATCCCCTCCCCATGCTGGCTCTATTTTCGGCTCTAATCTGGCTTGCTCCTTATTTGCTGAAAAGGTATTTATGTATTGACATAAACATCTGCCAACAGCCTCCATATCTTACCCTCACACTTTAGTGACCCCAACAGATAGAAGGCTTCGTTTTCACCCAACACCTATACATTGGTCATTGATAAGAATTCTGGCCTGGACTCCCTGGGTGGCTCAGTGGTTTGGTGCCTGCTTTTGGCCCAGGGCATGATCCTGGAGTCCTGGGATTGAGTCCCATGTCGGGCTCCCTGCATGGAGCCTGTGTCTCCCTCTGCCTGTGTTTCTGCCCCCCGCCCCCCCGTCTCTCATGAATAAATAAAATCTTAAAAAAAAAAATTCTAGCCTACTTAAGCCATGGAGTGCAATCAGTTCTTTGAAGAAGTGGGTCCTTCAAGCATTGCATTTGTTTCCTATGGCTGGTGTCAATTATCACAAACTTGGCAGGTAATGACAATACAACTTTATTCTCTTGGAGTTTTGGAGGCCAGATGCCCAAAATCAGTCTCACTGGGCTAAAGTCAAGGAGTTAGCAGGGTCTTGGTCCTTCCAGAGCCTCCAGAGGAGAATTTTTTTTTCCTTTTCTAGCTTCTGGGGGCCACTTGCATTTCTTGGCCCATTCTAACCTCTTGCTTCTATGGTCATATCTCCTCCTTCCTCTTTGGTAGTCAAACATCCTTCTACCCCCCTCTTCCAAGGACACTTGCAATTATATTTAAGACCAACCTGGATAATCCAGGATAATCTCCCCATCTCAAGATTCTTAACTTAATCACATCTGCCACATCTCTTTTGCCACAGAAGATAATATGAACAGCTTTTAAGGATTAGGGCATGGATGTCTGGGGGGGGGGGGGCCTTTATTCAGCCTACCACAAACATGGTCCAGGAAGGTATGGCAACCAGTGCAAACAGATAGTCAACTATCAGGCAAAGAAAGACACATTTTATAAAAGAGAGAAACCACAAATTATACAGAGAACAGAGAAACCATTTTCAGCGTCTGGGATCTGACTTGGATTCTCGACAGATAATTATAATAATGATGATAGCAAACATTTATATTTCTCATTATATGTCAGCCATTATTCTAAGCCATTACTCATATAACTCAATCTTTACAAAAAGTCATTCTCATTTTATAAAAGAAGAAACTGAGGCACAAAGATTTTAAGTGATTTGCCAAAGATCACTTTGAACTAGCACAACTAGGATTTGAACCCAAGGTATCTGATTCCCAGGTACATACTGTTGACCATTTGAGATGGAACTTAAAGAATGGATTGCAGGTGGACACAATGAGCAAACGGTGTACACAAATTATAATTTTTTTGAACCTAAAAAAAAAAGAGCAAACAGAAGGGTCTTATACAGAGAGAACAGAATGAATAAGGCACAGAGGCTGAAAAATAAAAGACAGATTCAGGTCAGTTAGTATACTGGGTTGGATGGAGTATAGCAAGCCTGGGAGAAGTAGTGGGAGATCCACCTAGAGATCTAGCCTGAGGATAGGGCACAGAAGACTTTGAAACCACAGACAACCTCTATGGCTGATCAGAGTCCTTTGAGACATTGGACTAGACGGGGCTTATCTAGTGTACCTTAAGAGCACTGATCTAGTGACAGTGTGAAGCTGGGCTGGAAGAATAAATAGGGAGCTGTCCCCTTTCCTCTACACCAAGGTACTTTGCTATCACAAAATGTGCCAGTGTGTCTTGCCCACGGGAGAGCAAGCCCTAGAGGGGAGCTGAGTGTATCACATCACATATGCCAGTAGGTGATATAGTAAACCACAAAACACAGTGGAGCCAGAGGGCAGGAGGCAGGCCGTATGGATGCTGGGGTTGCTGCTGCTGCTGGAAATAGTTAACACCATTTTGGAGTCAATCTGAAGTCTTTACCCATGCTTGGTGAAGTCTTCTAACATAATAAAAATTGCTGTTAATTCGGGAGATGTAGGAGTATATTCAAATCGGGGATCTGTCAATTGCCTTGGTGGGGCCTTGGGTAATTACTCAACACCCCCAAGCCTTACTTTTTAAATCTTTATTAAATAAATAAAATTATGCTATTGGTCATTTTTAACTTATAGTAATAGTTGTCTGGCTCAAATGAGTGATCTGGCATAAAATTATTTTTTTATACTCTCATTTCATTTCATCCCCGACTTATCTTTACGTCTGTGTTATTACTCTTCCTCATTGTACAGATAAGGAAATTGAACCTCAGAGAAAAGAAGAGATTTATCCAAACCCATACAGTGGAAGGGTCTGGATTTAAACCTACAGGGGCAAGATTCCAACCACGTGCCAATCTCACCAAGGGAAATGAAGCTTAAGGGAAAGAGCAGGACATGCGTGGCAACACAGGTGAGAGAGATGAGCTAAAAAATAAAAAATAAAATAAAATAAAATAAAAATAAATAAAAAAATAAAAAAAAATTAAAAATTTTTTAAAAAAAATTTAAAAAGCTCAGAGATCTTGGAGAAGCTCCAAAACACAGATTTGAGCATACTGCCGCTCTTCTCCCGGCGCCCGCGGAGGAGGCCCCCAGCCAACCCAGCAGGGATGGAAACTTGGTCCCCCGCCCAGCAACAGCCTCTGCGTCCTTAGCAACCCGGGGGAGCAGCCCCGCCCACGAGCCGGGCCCTGTGATTGGCCCGACTCCTGGGCTCCAGTCGCCCGCCCTGCTCCCCGCAGGCCGCCGCGGGGCTCGATCCAGGGGAGAGCACTGACCGAGTACTCCTGAGCTGCCCGGGTGGGAAACGCTGGCTCGGCGGTAAGGCCAACCCTTCTGTTCTATCCCAAGAAAGGGCTCAGTACAGACACGCACCTGCTGGGAAGAGAAGGGACCCCACCATCACAAACTGTGGCCCTTGAAGTTTCCAGACTGCTTCCAAGAGGTTGCAGGTCCCGCTGGGTAGGGCTATCCTCTCCTAGCAGGTCTTTCTTTAGTGCGGACCACACACTAAGTGAAGCCGGGGTACTGGGAAGAGCTGGTCTACTTCAGACCAGAATACTAGAAAAGGGGCTGGTTCCACTCGCTCTGTGAGCTTGGTCAAATGATACACCCTCTCTGGGCCTCGGTGTACCAATCTGTAAAGCCAGCATTTGGATTAGAATGATCTCTGAAGAGCTTTCAATCTGTGAGAGGCTCTGAAGGAAAGTGATCAGCCTGGGGCCAGGTTTCTAGAACTTCTAAGTTGCCCTTGGCATCAAACCTGTGTAAACACCCAGTATTTATCTAGTACAGGATCTCAATTTCAGATTCGCTGGATTATTACAGAAACACCCATCAGCAAAAACAACAAAATTCCCTCTTTCCTATGTACAGCACTCTTTCAGATGCATTATCTTACTGGATTCCCTAAATCCCAGGGAGTAGAACTGGAATTATCCCGGTTGTGTAAAAAGGGAAACTGAGCATGAGAGCTGAATATAAGATCTTCATATACCCCACTAAAGCCCTGGTTTCCTCTCTGACCTCCAAAGAATCCAATCTGGTATCAGGAAAGTAGAGTTTCCAAATGGCTCAGTAGACCTGTTTTGCAAACCTCTTGAGTGGGATTCCCAGTTCTGCTAAATACTGATTCTATGCTACTGAGTAAGTTACATAACTACATATTGCCTGTTCTCTCAACGTTAAAACAAGAATGATGATAGTAATTAAAAATATCTTACTAAAAAAATAAAAATATCTTACTCATGTCTTTATTAAGAATGTCAAGTGAGGTAAGACCAAATAGCATTTGGTCCTGCTATTGTTTTTGTTAATATAGACGAGGATGCTAAATTGACTAATGGGAAATCAAGAAGAAAAGCGAGTTACTTATTTTCCAACCCAAGTATTTTAAAGGACTTTGAGAAAAAGCATGTCTTCTGTTGGGAAGACTCCCCATGGATCAGAAGCAATGTCTGAGACAGTGGTGAAAATCATTGGAAGCAAACACTTCCGGTGCCTCTCGGAGAAGCCAAAGATGTAAGTTTACTGTTTGAAAAATATCTGCTTTGCTAGGAAGATAATGAAGTCTGGGGCTTTTTTTTTAATCTAGAAATTAACATTTTTAAACTGTTGTCCATGGAAAATAGTCATTAAGAAGTAATAGTAGAAGTAAAATAGTGTTGATAACTTCCATGCGCACTGTTTTCCTGATATTTTTCATCTTTTTAATTCCTCTTACTCTTTAATTACTTAGGCAGATTTTCTAAATAGATGAGGAATATAAGCATTGAGACATTTATAACTATTAATGGGGTATTGCTGCTGCTTCTCATCACGTTTGTAATCTACATGTAGTGATTTTGGGGAGGGAGGAGGAATAGTGTTAGTCAATTTGTTATGAATTAGAGGAGTGGGATTAATAATAAATCATAAATTATAAGATTTTTACTTACTCTTGTTTATAGTCTATACTCCTCCAAACAAAGACTTCTCAGAGAATAGCTAAGAGGTCTTTCTTTCTTCAAGCTCATCACAGTCACATTTGAGGGAGGACACTCAAGTATCTCTAAAATTCACCAGATACTTGGCACGGAAGGGTATGACTAGGTCTTCTTTCCAGTGTTCAGAAAAGAAAAAAGAGGCACTAGACCCACCTTTCTTTTTTTTTCTTCAAAGATTTTATTTATGTATTCATGAGAGACACAGACAGAGAAAGGCAGAGACATAGAGACATAGGCAGAGGTAGAAGTAGGTTCCCTGCAAGGAGCCCAATGAGGGATTCGATCCCAGGACCCCAGGATCATGACCTGAGCCAAAGGCAGATGCTTAATCACTGAGCCACCCAGGTGTCCCGAGACCCACTTTTATTTATTTTTTCTTTTTTTAAAATATTTTATTTATTCATGAGAGACACCCACACACACAGAGAGAGAGACAGGCAGAAGGAGAAGCAGGCTCCATGCAGGAAGCCTGACATGGAACTCGATCCCGGGACTCTAGGATCACTCCCTGGGCTGAAGGCAGGCGCTAAACCGCTGAGCCCCCCGGGGATCCCAACCCATTTTTCATCTAGTAGTCATTCCACAAACAGCAGCAGTCAATAGTTGCCTTCCCCTCCTAAGAGCCTTTGCTTTTATTTCAGAAACCCACAGACCAAACAAATAGACAAACAGAAAAGACCTGGCCTCACAGAACATAGGTGCAGAAAGTAGTGGTTATAAAACCTGTCATCAGAAACAACTGGAAAATCCTTAAGAATAAAGATTTGGGGTCCAACCCAAGACCTACTGAATTAGAATCTCTGAAGATGAGGTCATCAGGATTAGGGAGCACAGGCCTTAGGAGGGCAAATTGGTTAAACTTCCCACCATCAGTACTGTCCGCCCAGAGAAATTCCAAAGTGAGTGCTGTAATCAAGTAGTAATGTCTGTTCTGGCACAGGGGTCCTGCATCTGGGATCCCTACAGAGCTGAGAGATGTGAATTTGAATCCTGCCTCTGTGCCTTCCTGGCCTTTTGACATTAAGAAAGTTAATATCTCTGGGCTCAGATTCTCCTATCTCTCAAGTAAGGCTAAAACACATGGACCTAGGAGGGTTGTTGTGAAAACCAGATGAGAAAAAGAAGGCAAAACACCTTTCCAGTGCCTAGTAGTATATTCAACATGTTCAATCAGCGGTTCTGCTATTATGACTAAACCATATCTTTCCAGGGATACAAGACATTTAATAAAAAAATCAAATCCCATTCTATGCAATGCTTGCAATCCCTTTTATATTCTGTGTCTGAGAGGCAGTTTGCCTCTGTTTTGTAGATGAGAAAACTAAGATACTGTGATATAATCTTATAATAATCATAATTATAAGATCTCCTACCAAATGCTCATGGTTGGCAAGGAAAGTACTAGGATCAGTTTGGATGCCCTGCTCAGTTCTCCTCCCACCCAGAAGACGGTATTACTACTCTACTAATTCCATTCCCTCTGGGGTTCTTTGTTTAGCCCCTTTCATTCCAAATCCCTTCTTTTTTCCAGGGGAATCATTGTCTAACATGTTCCTAAAGGGGATGCTAGGGGCATGTCCTTGTCCTTTTATATAGGGAAAAATTCCTTTGTCTTATAAAAAGGTGCCTTTTATTTTTTCTCTTTATTCTTTTAACTTCAGAGTCCAGGAAATACAAGAATACATTAGATTAAGTACATAAACTGAAATAAAAGACACAGTTGTTACTTCTCTGACAACTGTGAAAAAAATGTTTTAAAAAGTCAAGGTAGGTTGTTTTATTTCTGTTTTCTATGGGTTTGATATTACTGTTGCTGGAATGACATAGGACTACTAACATGCTTTGCTAAAATATTGCTATATTGTTCAAAAATAAGTGATTCTCAGAAGGATCACCATTATCAAGTCATACATGTCCCATAATCTGCCTCTGAAGCATTGTAGTTGGACTACATCTATAGTTTTCAGCCTGGGTCTCAAGAGGGCTTTTTCTTGGGGTGGAATCTGTTGAGTCCATTAGTAAAATATCTATGTAAGAAACAAGTTGAACGCCAAAAAGGGGAAGAAGTCTCTAAAAAGAAAAATCACAAACTAATAATGGATGGAAAACAGAAATCTTCCTGTGTAAGTACATTTAGTTCAGATTTACTGTAGGATATGTGGAGAGGATGGAATGGTATGTCAGACCTGAATGTGATCTTCAAGGTATAAATCAGTATATTAATTTTCTAGGGCTGCCGTATCAAAGTTCCACAAACTGAGTACCCTAGACAATACAGAAATGTATTGTCTCACAGTTCTGGAGGCTAGAAGTCTGAAATCAAGGTGTTGGTACAACTGTGCTCTGTCTGAGTCTGAAGCTGCCCAGGAAGGAGAGCTTCTAGGTCTATCTCCCTGCTTCTGGTAGTTCTGTGGCTCATGGTGCATAACCCATAAGATTCACATGGCAGTTTCCCTGTATATATGTCTATATATGTCTGTGTACAAATTTCCCCTTTCTATAAGAACACCAGTCAATTGGATTAGGGGCCCATCCTATTCTAGTATGACTTCAGTTTAACTAATTACATCTACAATCACCCTATTTCCAAATAGCTCTGAAGTTCTGGAGGTTAGGACTTTACCCTGTGGGCTCCTGTAACACCATTAAGGGACTGTTACACTCTATGACCATTTCCTGTGCATTTCTGTCTCCTCCATTTAGCTGTAAATCCTGTGTGCACCGCTGTACCCTCACCACTGAGTACAAAGTCTTATACACATTGAAAGCCTAATAAATGTCCTAGAGCACAATGGATACCAAGAAAAATAAAGATATAGAAAGACAATACTTGGTTGCCTTAAATCCAAGTCTAAAGCCTATGTTGCTAAAGTAGCATTAGATGTTACCATGGAACCCTGAGGGGTACTGTGTGATAGCTCATGGAGAGGAAGACAAGGCCAATGGACAGGAGATAAGTATTCCCATTTTTCTATAAGGAGATAAAAGTGTGTAATAAAACCACAAAACCTGAGGCCTGTAGGCAATCCCTGGCAAAACTGTAGGCCAAAGAATTAAATATATTAGTTGTGAAAACAAAACACAAAAGTGATGGTCACTAGGAGTTGGTTCATGTTGACTAAAACCAGATGATGCTAACATGGTGGTGATTGAACAATTGATGGCATATTGGAGGTGGGGAGGTTGAGAGGATCTATGTGACCCTGTTTTTAGTCAACAATATTTTTAAAGATTTTATTTATTTATTCATGAGAGACACACACAGAGAGAGGCAGGGACACAGAGGGAAGAGTAGGCTCCCTCCATGGAGCCCAATGTGGGACTCAATCCCAGGACCCTGGGATCATGATCTGAGTCGAAGGCAGATGCTCAACCACTGAGCCACCCAGGTGCCCCAGTCAGCATTTTTTAATCCATAACTGAAGGAAGACAGATCACTTCAGTAAACATGTAGGTAGAAGGATGCTGGAATGCCTTGGCAGGGACGGTTTGAGCTAAAACTGACAAAATGAATCCAACGGAGATGGATGCAAAGTCCGTCTTTAGATAAGAGTACATGTAAATGCTTATATGGAATAAATGTTTGTGTTTTATTTGTGAAATAATAGAAAATATATCTGTTGGTTTCTGCTCCCAATTCCTGGCACAGAATCCCTAAAACCCTTGCAGTTTCCTAACAGGTAAGAGCACCAGGTACATCTCTTGACCTAATATTTGGTCTTTGACCCTGGTTCCTGATACAAAGCTCCTAAATCCCTTGGGATTTCCTGGGTGATGAGATGTCTCTGTTCCCATGAGTATATTCTCAATGGGCTCTGGGCTGCTTCAGGATGGAGGCTGGTCACCAGAAGGACCAAGCCATGATTAAAAACTTTGAACTTAAAACAAAACAAAACAAAAAAAACCTTTGAACTTTCAACCCTACCCTCCATCCTCTGGAAAGGGAAGAGGGGCTGGAGATTGAGTTTATGATTGAGCATAACTATATGATGAAGCCTCCCTAAAAATCTCAAAAGTATGGGGTTCAGAGAATTTCCGGGTTGCTGCACATGTCTATGTGCTGGGAGGGTGGTGTGCCTGGAGAGGGCACAGATGTTCCACGCCCTTTCCCACCTACCTAGTCCTATGCATCCTTTCTATTTGGCCACTCCTAACATATTTTTTTTATAATAGATTAGTAATCTGGTAAGTAAACTGTTTTCCTGAGTTCTATGAGCTGCTCTAGCAAATTAATCAAACCTGAGAAGGGGGTTGTGAGAATTCTGATTTATACTGGGTCTATCAGAAATACAGGTTATAATAACCTGGAATTGGGATTGATGTCTGAAGGGGAGGGGACAGTCTTGTGGGACTGAGCCCTTAACCTGTAGGGTCTGTGCTCTAGGTAGGTGGCTTCAGAATTGAACTGAATTATAGGGATACCCAGCTGGTGTTGAAGAATTGCTTGGTATGGGGAAACCCACACACATTTGGTGTGGTAGTAGTAGAGAGTAGAGGATAAAATGGAGTGTTTTCCTCTTTACATTTCTGTTTGTG